AACTTTGTATCTTTTCTGAAAATTAATTGAAGACTGCTGTTTTCTCCAATGCTCCCTTTTTCCAGCAACACTTTATACTCATAGCTATCAATCACTTGGAAACTGAAAGCTTATTACTACAACCAATACTAATTAAATCTTCTAGAAATATTCTTCACACAAATAATCATTTGAAGCTTAATGTGTGCCTTTAAGATGAGGTTGCTGTTTATGTTGTACTTAAATATTGAAGATGTTTCACAAGCTGATTTTAAATTTATGGGAGCAGGGAGCAGTGCTAAACACTGAAGTTAGAGTCCCAGCCAAATAGTTATTTTGAGTTCTCAAGGACAGTCAATTATTTCTAAAAATATTCATTTTGAAAAGAACAATAAAACATTTATTATTTTCAAAGTTTGGGTGGGTAGTGGTAGGGTTTTTGGCAAATATAGCATCGTTGAGAAGTACATTGATAGGACCAGTTGGTATCTTGTGGATACACACAGAAGGAAGACCATCAGCAGCACATACTTGCAGCAAGAGTGAAAAAACTTGATGTTTCCTGGCAAGACATGACAGTAACTAATATACAAGCAAGAAGAGTAATTTTGTACACACTGATTGTTAACACTGCATACATAAATCAATGAAGAAATACAAGTCTCAGATATGAAGAAGAAACACAATTTAGAGCTCTTGTTTAAAAAGACTGAAGGTATCAATTGAAAATAAATCCATTTCAAAACCATACACTGATTTTCCTTGAGTTCATAAAGCAGACTAAGTTATAGTTCTCAGAATACAGTGCAATCTCTACTAAAAAGCATTATATTAGAGCTTATATTCTTAGGCACTCAGAACAAATGATATGATTTTCTGTTACACAGAAAAGCTTGCTGAAATATTACAGAGATTTCCCTCCCCAGAACAAGTAACAGGACAAAGCTGAGATCATAATTAGATACAGAAAATAATTATGAGAATACCATGGAAATCTTAGCATTAAGTCACACTTAAAATATGAAAGGAGTAACACTGGCTTAAGATTTTGTTGCCAATGTATACAACTACCCTCAGTCCAATAAAGCCACTCTGAAGCACTTCAGTATCATATTCCATAAAATTTTTAATGCCCAATATTCCATATCCTTATCTAAGGCTTGAAATATGCTGCCTTAACTTAATAAGGAACCTGTGAGTAAGAACAAGAAAAGAAAAGCAAAACTATTAGGCACTCTTCAAACATGAGTGAGCAGTTACAAGAACACAGGAGAACACAAGGCCTTGAGGAAAGTAACCTCACCAAGAGCTCATCCAACTGCATACAAAAAGACGCTCTTCAGCCTATGTCAAGTAGTAAGAGAGAGATATGGGTCTGGGGAACAACAATTTAATTTAACATCTGCATATAACTGAACCAGTCTCTACTGTGAGGTACCCTGCACAGAGCTGAGTTTATGTACTGAAGGCACACGTGCAGATTTGGCTGACAATTACTTCTTTTTATGTTTTACTTGGCTACAAGCAGTTAGATTAAAAGAATATTTTGATCTTTCAAAGGTTGGCTTTTATCTTCAGCAAACGCTTGTCAATTTTGCAGTGGGCAGAACAGAAGAAAAATCCAGATGGAGCACTGGGGTGAATGTAGTTTATCCACGAGGTAATTGTATTACTCTTTATACTGAGCTCATAAATGCTTGTCTAAAAAAAGTTTAAGACTTGATAAAGCTTTTACCTTTCCTGTCCAAAACCCTGTACGTATGTTTTCTTCCCAAGATGAAGCCGTTCGTTGTGATGTCCACATAGCTCAACAGTATTTAAGTGTCTAAATCTCACTATTTTACTGGTCAAAAACCATTAAGTGCTTAACCTTGCAGGAATGACATCACAGAACTTTTAAAATGCTACATTGCCATAAAAACATTTCTTAAAATAGTATGCATTGTTTGGGAGTTTTCAGTTTTCTCCAAAGTGCTTGCAGACAATCTTCTTCTAAAAGACCACCTGTAAGAGAAGAACACAGTTCTAAAAATAAACCTAAATAGCAAAATTACTTTTAGGACGGACACACCAATTAAAAACTTAGCAGGTGCTCTGAAATGGAAAAAAAAAAGCCACAATTGCATGAAGTAGTTGCCGTGCATTCCAAGTTTAGCATGTGAAATCATAAAGAGGAACTAAAAATTGAGCTAGTACTCTTGAAATGCATGGACAAACACATGGACCAACTGACAAATCACACCACAATGTTAAGCACTACAAACGGAAAATGTTACATAGCTTCAGTGTACCAGCACCAGTCTCTGTTTATACCCAGTAGCTTAAAATGGATGTCAAAGAGCTCAACTCAAAATTTTGACTTTAATTATCAGCAGTGTATCTACCACTCTTTATGTGCCATTAAGCATATTTGAAATAAAATTAACTTATTAAATGGAGTCTGCTGAGGACATGGACCTTGAAGACATAGAGAAGACATGCCACAACTTTCAATGACACAGCCAGCAAGACACTAGATAAGCTGAAACACTGTAGAGGTCGCTTCAGAACACATCAATTTAGGGGAAAAAAAACCCTGGAGTTGAGAGCAGCAGTGAATACAGGCAGTCAGCAATGCTATTTCATCCAGGTACTGTCCCACTCAGGAATTCCACCTCCTACAGGAACTCTCAGTAACAGTGGTTAAAGTCAGCCACAAATCCTCTGAATGACAGAAAGACCTTGTCTGGAAGCAGTTAAACACACATTTATGCCTTCTTCCTCTGCAGCTGAAGATCTGAATCAAATTCACCCAAAGTACAAGCTTTCATCAGAAATATACTGACTAGAGGCACAAAAGTCTTAAATGCAGTTTATTCAGCTTCAGTAAATTGGGCTACAATAATTTATTAGAAGTCTGAAATAAGTAGCTGAAGTAAAGGTCTAACTACTACCTGTTTAAATGTGAACAGCTTCTCATGACAGTAGACAAAAACTGATCTAGAACCATGCTAGGGAACAGTATCATGCCCTTTTTCAAGCAAGATCTGTTTCTTTTTTGTAGTGCAAATCAAACAGACCTGGCTAGTTTCCCAGATGATTTACAAAATAGCTCTGTTGGCCTAGAGAGACCATTAAAATATTCTGCTGAACCATTTCTCTGCTATTAGAACATTTGTTTTCAGAAGGGGCAAAACTTTAATTCTAAGGGGAGGTTCTACAATAAAAAGCTGCCATAGATGGACAATTATTTTACAGCTTTACTATCATATCTCTCTAGAGAACAGCTTATTTTTAAATTAAAGTAGCAATGGTTTAAATTTATAGAACTTTTAGGTAATTACAGGGAACAGCTTTCCTATTTAGGAGAGGAAAGAACAAATTAGAGAGAAAACTGGACTACAAAACATTTTGAGTGATTGCAAAGTGATGGGGTTTTTTTAATCAAGGTGCACTGGAATTTATTTTCATATATGCCCTCTTCTTTCTACTTCTTGTGCTTAAAGAGAAGATAACTAGCTTGTCTTTAAGTAGAAAAAAAAATCATATTATGAACAATCTGATGAGATTTCTGTATCTCCCACTAGAGATACAGAAAAGAAATAAAAATAGTCACAGAACAAACAAAACAATTAGCTGGGCATGGAAATGCCAGTCTGGTGAAGGAAGACACTATCTCCTATTGCATTTAGCTGATATTGATTTTTAAAAAGGGAAGAAATAGAAGGCACATCAACATTAAAAAAAAACTTGAGCACAAGGACATCATTCTGAATCAGAAAATAGGAGTACTGTTTCCCTTTCACTGACATCTGTAGACCCTTCACAGATTTCAGTGCAGCAGTGAAACAGCAGCACTAGGCACCTGTGATTGGCCAAAATGTGCTACAGATCAAAAAGCGAAACACTGGCATAGACAAGTCTGGTCTTATAAATGTCCAGCAATAAAGATGCTTATTCCAATTTCCTAATTTTTGAAACCTGAGCTCCCCCTTCTTGCAATGTAGTCTATCACTGTCTTCTAATTTACTGGGGGAAAAAAAAAATCCACCCAACCTCATTACCCTCCATAACTTTTTTATTACTTGGAAGCATACCGCATCTCCAAGTCTCTTTTCCTCTACAGCAGTAGAGGTATAATTTAGTGATGAGGCATAGAGGCCAGACAAACACATTCTGCTTAGTTCAACAGTGAAACCTGTGCTGCCACTAAGGGTTGGGAGGAACTATCCCTCACTGCACACCAGCTCTCTACTTTAACCTCAAGTTACTCAAGAGCATTTGAGTCTTGTTGCTCTTCTAAACAGACTAAATCTTCTCTTGTGCATTTCCCTCTTCCATTTGAGGTAACCAATAGTGTGACACAACATCATTTTTTTCCCCTCTCTCAGCATACAGAGAGTTTGGCACTGTGCACTTTGTTCACTTTCCTCAAGTCCAGCACCTTTACTATGTCCCCCCAGAGCCTTTTTTACTCAAGGGTCAAGTCTGAATTTTGAATCACATATGTTTAAAACCACCTTTCCCCTTCATATTATCCATCAGCATATCATCAAATAGAAGCAAACCATATTAACTTCCAGGGGTTTTTTTCCCCTAACATTCTAAACTGTGAAGAGAAAAAAAACAACACAGTGAGGATTTCATTTCAAAACCATGCTGGGCATGTTTTCCACAAGCTCAATAGAGTAACTCAAGCAATTTACTGAAGTTTAATGACTCACAAGAAAACCCCAACCGCCAGGCTTAGTTAGATCCCTGTGAGATCAGCAGTTTCATGTGACTCCACTGCTATTAGTCAAAGCTCCACAGATCTATCAGAGAAGTATCTAGTAAGCAATCATCTTATACAAGCATGCAGTACAAAACAGCAAGCCTAAGGAAGCCGCTATAGTTATTGAATAACTGTAGTTATTCCAGTGACACAACTGTCAGCAGCACTTGCTTGTTTTGGACAATAAGCACATTGCCACTAAATCTGAGCCATTGCCAAAATTTGTTTATTGCCAAGAAATTAATATGCAGACATTTTATCTGTTGCACTAGTGATGCTACACCCACAAAAGTTATTTCAACACCTACTCTAATTACAAAATCTGAATAAACAATTAGATAAGAATTTGGTGGATAAAAAAGCCTTGCTTAACTTATTATTAACTGAGTGACCACATATAATTTTTGCAGACTTGTGTAGAGAATTTTGAAATTAAAAGTTGAGTTTTCACACAGAACTGACGCATTTTCAACTGTACTGATTACCTTCACATATTTCACAACATAACACCTCCAGCATGAGTTCCTCATGTTCAGATGTTTCATACCTGCCTTCACTCTGAGCTCCTCCTCTCTTGCATGTCCTGTTTGGCAGGCGTGGCGGGCGCTTCGCTCACGTCCTGCTTCGCGGGCATCTCCCCATTGACGCTCTCCACGCCAGTAACGGACATCAGGCTCTTCCGCTCCTTCGAGTTGGATTTGTGATCCACTTTTGTGACTCGAAATCTGAGGTGAGCAACACAAAGAGCACTTGTATTTCCCCACAGATGAGTTAGGTCATTCTCAGAGGCAACAGCATAGGCAGAAACAAATTTCCAGGTCCCCAGAATGAGATGTCAGAGCAGACACCTACATGGACACTGCTTCACTTCAGAGCATCTTCCTTCCTATCACCTAGAGGTCTTTCTAGTTCTCACTACTGCTCAATCACACTTTCTCAGGGAATTGTGTTTTGAAGCAGAATCCACAGATTGCATACCATATACCATATACTTTTTAGAATAGTGATTTTCTAAGACAACTACAATATAAGGTAAGAATTAAAAATAACAAATAGAATGAAGTGGCTTCTGTAGTCTCACACTTACTTGAGAAATACTAAATTCAGAGAAATTTATTAGTGTGCAATTCTTGTTTCTTTTTAGCTTGTATCAAATGAGCAAGAGCCTTAAATTTACACCCACAGTAAACCTCCATCTTTTTACATAGTTCTTAAAAAAAGAAGAAAATCACATTTACTTCTTCCAGAAATAACTTCAGTCTAATAGTAACAGGATTATTTTAAAAAAATCACCAATCTTATAAACAGAGCAGAATCAGTGGATATCTGATCCAACACTGGCCACTGTAGCTTTCTAAGAGAAGTATACAACAAAATGAGCCCAGCCTTACCTTCCCACAGAAAGCACTGTAACTTCTCCAATACGACTTCTTCTGTTCTCTTTAGATTTTTGAGCTGGCTTTATAAGGTGCCATCGTTTGTGGCTACAGCGAGTACAAACATCCTTTTCCACCACTCCTCCAACAGTATGGAAGTGATGGGCTTTGCAGTTGTGTCTGAATGGAACAACACCTGGTGACAAAGGAGTCCCTGGACTCACTGGACTCTCAGGAGAGGTAGGAGATAATGGGCTGTAGAAACAAAGAAATAAAGAAAATTTAATGTTTACTATAAAATACTATTTCTTAAAAAGGAAAAATTATTAAATCCAACCTTCAGTTATGTCTAGTGAATAACCAGTTTTTACAGGAAACATTTATTTGTGAGAATGTCCAGCTTACAGTTCCCTCCAATATTGTATTTTTGCAATTGGAATCACTTTCACAAATTAATTCAGCTGCAGTCATGTGGTTAAGGTAACTAACACAAAAGACAAGAAAAAAAAGAGGGGAAAAAAGTCAGCCTAAATAGAATAGGTTACATGAACTCATATTGAAGAAGACATTTAATAAGCTGATTACACTCACAAAAAAACTGCCTTGGAAAATTATAGAAAGTATTTCAGAATTGTTACAGGATCTCAAGGAACTCCGAAAAGAACACAGTCCCACAATACTGAAAGGAGGCAAAACTAAAATGTGTACCACAATGACAAAAGGAAACAACATCATTCAAGTTTCAAGGGAAAAAATAAAATTTTAAGTCCCTAGAAAGAAAAAGCAGTACAACTTCCAAAAGGCATTTGAGATTAACTAATATAATCAATCTGATTTTCCTCGAAAGCAGAAAAACAAACGGATAGCAGTGATAGAAACCAGTTGTACTTTTTTTGGACTTTAGCATCAATTTTAACACTGTCTTGTAACACAGCAGACCAGAGCTCATGAAAGGTGGAATAACTGTAGAGTACAGCAGCACCTTGTAAAAAAATATTAAAAACACATACAGAATGTAATATATCTGTAGTTGCTGTGAAACTGCAAAGTCATACTAAATGTGGGTTTTTTTGATCCTGGTTATATTCAGTGCTTTAAGTAGTTCACTGGGTAACAGAATAGAACAGCTAAAGTACCCATAAACTTTGGGTAACCCATAGCAACTGCAGAGGTCAAGATAAGAAATTAGAACGATGAGAAGAGAACGCATATATGAAAGACATTCACACATACACAAATCTAACTAAATATACAGGATGTACTGCAGTAAGGACAACACAAATTCTCAGTGTTTTAGCAGAAAGCCTTTACCCAAACCTAGACCAAAATCAATCAGACAGATGACCATTCTTCAGAAAAAGAGGATCATGGGCAGAACATGAAACATTAACAACATTCTTGCTTAAAAAGGACAAAACAGCGGAAATAACAGAAGTATAACCTGTGAACCTAAATTTACAATACTCAGCATTAATCATGCCAGATCTGATCCTACCATGTAGGTTTAGAAATGTTATTTCAAGAAATACAAACAAACTGCAGAGACTCCAAAGGAGAACAGAAAGAACAAATTAAAGAAGTAAAACATGCCAGAAAGGACTGAGAGTTACTCGGATGCTCATTTTCAAAATAAAAATATTGGCAAGAAATATTTAATGGTCTTCAAATAAATAAGAAAATGCTATTAAGGAAAATAGAAGTAGTTCAATACCTGAAGCAAAGACAGAACTAATGGCTTCAACTGAGAGAAGGGTAGATTTTACCCAGCCATAACTATTTCTATAATTAGGAGGTTTCATAGTGCACTGAACTTCCAAAGAAATATAGAGGATTTCTACTTGATTACAAAAGCTTCAAGAGTATCTGTCAGATTCTGTAAGAGCAATCATTTTCTCTCCTCCTTACTTTTCATATTTTAATTCACCACTGAAACTATAGTTTAAAATGCCCAAGATAACATTACACATGCCTATGCAAAAAATTCAAACAAATATCTCTACAGAACCACAGACATTTAAAAATATCTGTACTTGAGGAGAAATCCCTTTGGAAATTCAGGGGTCTTTTCAATAACCAAGCCTCTCACCATGAGAACAGGTGTTTAATGGTTCTATACTCAGCTCTTTGTTTTGCTGAAACGATATACTCCTACTTCTTACATAGGTGACACAATACTACTTGAACTTCCATCTCCTCTGCCTCGAATATGAAGTTATATACAAAGAGTACTGAGAGTCTAGATATAGGTAAAAGTGCTCAGGTACAAATACAAGCACTTTTACACATATGATGCATCTAGTTTTTTTACACATACAATGCATCTAAGGTAGAGATGCTTTCTCTACATAATTACCTGTGCAGTGAAAAATCCTAACAGGTAGGTCAACCAATGTCTATTGCAACAATTATAAAGAAAAAAGTAAACCAAAAGTCGACACAGAAGAAGATGTCTCTTGTAAGCTAGCACCTATACAAATGAAATGAGCGCTGTTCTGTTCTTTGAAGCCACAGTAGCTTTGGACTAAGCCACCTTGTTGGTAACTCCACCCCAAAGTAAACCAGTATTTGCAGCATCTGTAAATTTTTAGACCAAAATGCAGAAAAACTGTATCATGCACCTAGAACACATAACCAAAAGAGCCAGCCACTAGCCCAGGGTATATGTTACAATTTAAGGACTCAAACACAAAGGAAAAATCAAAGTATTATTCTCTTAGCTGGTAACTCAAGCAAGCGATGTAGTCTTAGAAGAGTTCAGGAAACAAAGTCCTTTGAAAGCATATGCTTTTAGTTGCCTCAGGAAACATGCATTAAAATGAGGGGTAATTACCTTTCAGGTTCAAAGACACTGCTATCTGCTACCATGGCCTTTAACACATCAGCATTTGCTGCAATGAGAATAAACAGAACTCTTCAAAAGTGAACGGTTCTAACTTCAGAAAAAAACCAAAACCAAAATTAAAGTTCCTCGAAGACATTTCATTTAAAAGAAAGATGACTGCATTATGTATCTCCAAAAAAAGCACAAAAGAAAACTGCAGAAAAAAATTGTTAATATAATTCTATGGGTAACCTTAACATGAACTACTAAAATTGCAGTTCATATTGCACTCAAAGCTCCACCCAATGCAAGCCATGAAACGCAGCCATCTACACAAACTCTTGAACAAAATCTCTGAATCACCTCACATGTTTAACTCAACTTCAGATTAAAAACAACAGTTTAAGTGAGCCCCACAAAATGAAAATTCATTATCAGCCAAGAATTATTAATTGCTCATTTCCTATCAAAACACATGAATTACCTAATCACAATCTCAAGGAAAAATACACAAGCTCAAAGCACTAGTAGTCTAAAAAAAAACCCTGAACAACAGAAAAAATCCCCAAACAACAAAATCCAAAAATCCCCACATGCAAACTCAAAACCATTGCTTTTCCAGCGGACTGATTCAGAGGTAACTCAAAGCAAGTTCAATGGTCAGAACTCTCATTCTGACCATTGAACAAATGTAAAATCAAAAGGCTGACTGCTCTTGTCCTATAAAAACATCCAGTCTCCTGAACATTTCTTCTATTGGGCAAATACATTCTGAACTAACCAAGCATACCATGGGGTGCTTAACTATGATTTTGTTTTCTCAGTCACATCTTACTTTGCAGACACATGCAGATAACACGGACAGAATTCAACATTAGTGCTATATACCAAATCACCCATTAGTGCTATATAAATACCCATTAGTGCTATATACTGTCTCAGTTATGCACAAGCCTCTCATCAGACAAGAGCTGCAAGAATCACTTCAGGACAAGAAGTTAAATCTAGTCAAAACATGAAAGCTTCCACAGGCTTTAAACACTGCCACTAAGACAGCAACATTGAGCTTTTACTTCACAAAGCAAAAGGCTGAACCAAAAAGACCCAAATACCGAAACAGTTAAAATATATGGAAATGCATGGCCTGAATTTACCATACAAAACAATTTTCAAGTAAGCAAGAAATTTCCCTATTGTCCTTGAAGTTACTGCCTTGTAAAGACAATTTCAAAGAGCTAAGAATGAACAAATTGGTTATTAAATGAAATCACATGAACATACCATATGTCAGACTATCCAAAAAACCATATTTGTTATAGAACACCATCACAAGGGCTGCTAACTTCAATGGCAGTAACTTCAATACTGTACCTTCATTTTTCATGATGTAGTTAACAATTTGTCCCACAGTGTCGCTATTCTCATGTATAGTTTCATTCATTTCTGTGCAAAGAAATAAATATGTTGTCAGTATCTTGGCCTTATGAATCAAGAACTGAACCATTTTAAAAATAAATAATGGCAAGACAGTCACAACCAAAACTGAACACAAACCAGAATGAACTACATTTCAAAAAAGAGGCAAGATTTTTTGTCACTTGGAGGGAAAGCTTAGGTAGGACTTTATCATCCTTATTCAGTAAAAACTATGAACACAAGTTTATCATCTCTACAGTAGCCCAAACAAATTCAGCTGAGAACTAATTAAGCTCAGTATTTTCATAAACATACTTCAAAATTCCTTCTCTAGCTAGTCAGGAGGAGACAAATAAGAGAGCAGCATTTCTAATCCTAACAACAGGGAGGGAAAAAAAAAACCAAAACAAAACGTTTAACTGTCTCAAACCACTATTCTAAAGCAGGTACTAGAAAGCAGTTCACTTTTATTATGAGGGGGATTCAATTTAAGATTTTCACATCTTCAAGGACGTAACAATTGATTAGCTAAAAAATAACCTGAAAATTTTTGTAACAGAATGCACCCATTAACAATATTAAAATCCCCCTAGAATAATCAGCAAAGAGTGAAGAAGATCAATTGGGGAACTAAAACAATGGAGAGGCAAAACTGTGCCCTTTCCTAATAACTGTTATAATGCTTTATTTTAAAAAATGGGATTGAGGCAAGTTTGATAGGCTACACTCTAAATTCTTCTCTTATGTAGTATATTAGGAGCTTCCCCACCTTTTTACCCATGCTTCATCTTAATATACCTGCAACTCTGCAAGGTAACTTAGAGGCAGCTCCTTCCTGCCACTGAGACATGGGGGATGTCCCCACTTCATTGCCACTCCCCTGCTCTACCCAGGGGAACAATCAGATCAGACAGCTCCACTCACTGCACAGCTGCCCCAGGCAGGTACTGCCTAAGAACACACTGACACATCATTGCTGCACCACATGGGTCTACCCTCACCACAGAGCCACTGTAATTTGCACTCATCATGAACCTACTGAAAGAAATTAATCAGGAGAAAGGAAGAGGAGTATTTACAAGTGACTTTTGTTCTTACTTACATTTTACAAATGTTATACCATGTTACTATAGCCCTTCTGGTAACACCCTTTTTTTTTTCCCCAAGTAAGAATAAATGGGAAAAAGGAACAATAAAAACAAGGGTACAAATGAACAAATGTTAGGATTAAAAAAAGACATCTTTAAGGAAAAATTACAAGCAGTATTACATAAAACAGAATAAAGATATTCAGTCCAAAGGCTTGGTTTTATAAAAAAGAGAGGGGAGAAGTGAATGGCAGCACAACAGGAACAAATTAAGACTGCAAAACACAAAACTAAGATTTTAGGCTTTAAATGGAAGCTTTTTTGCCACTTCTCAGCTAGCACTATGTACAACAATACTTTGTTGTTAACAGCATGTAAAATGCAGAAAAATGATCTGGTGACTCCATCTATGGAGTTGCAAACAAATATAGGGATACTTTGATCCCTCTGTAATCTTACTTAATGTTAGCAGACTCGCATGGGAAAAGCGGAACACGCCTGGATTTGACTGGCACAGATCAAACCCCAAGTGACATGTACTAACAAAAATATTATTCTTAATACTGCTTTGATGTCAAATATAGACACAGAAATGACAGAAGTCTCACAATAAATTATTTCATAGTAGTTGCAATGTACAGAAATAAGAATTTGTTTATTAGACTTGATTACCTATTTTTTCATCAATTTTTTCTTCTTCTAGTTCTTCAGCCTCTGTTGTACAACGGTATCCTTTTTTCTTAAGGATATGGCAGATAAGGATGCCCAAGAGACCCATGATGAAGAAAACAGGAACCAAAGCAAAGGCAATATACTCTAGGTGTTCAGGCTTGCCATCACTGCCATCCACTTTAGTTGTCAAAGTAGTTGTCTGTAAGCCATGGCTTGACAAAACCCACGGATCCTCTCCATCTATGTAAATCAATAAATAAATGTATCACTATACACTGTAAATCACTTGAAAAAATTCAGAAATTACACGCATGACTAAATCTCAGTACCTTCTGCAGTGAAGAGGAAAGCACATACTCTACTGGCTGACAACTTACACCAGAAACAGCAAATAATCCCTCTTCACCAAACAATTACAAACATCTAACACCCAAAAAATCTGTGTGATATTTCTTCAGTATAACAGTGAAGAACCAACCATACTGCAGCCTGACAGGCTTTTAATCTCAAATAAAGGGCTCACATTTCACAGAAGAATAACACTACCATTGCTCCTTGTTCACATCAGCAAGGAAAATGCTATAATATTCCTCCAGCCCAGGAGTTCATGCAAAATTACCAATAAAATGTGGATCCTTCCCTAATATGAGAGTAAATACAGGATTTAATATTGACCCTAGCATAGAAAAATTATCAGGTGTGAAAGAAATAGCCTTGATTTTTACTTTTCTTTTGACAGTGGAAATTGTCAAAAGAGCACCTACCCCCTACTCATCAGAATAAGGTGGACTCATTGTTTGTCTGAGATCTGGAAATCATTTTGTATTTAAACTTGACATGAAAGAATTCTTTTTGCTTGCAAAGAATTTAAGTTGTAGCACTGTCACACACTATATCCACATTTAAGCACTTTTGTTTCATTTAAGTTCTGAATTTCACAGATGTAAACTCCATGTTATAAACTGGGATTCTGACCTATCAAAAGTACAGAATATTTACATTAGAAGGGAAACTTGAAATTCATCAGTCCAAGTGCTGCTAAAAGCAGCACTGATTAGATCAGGTTTTGCACATAAGCTCCATCCAGATAATGAACATTCCACATCTCTGAACAATCTCTTAAATATTAACACACTTTTAAGTCCAATATACACAAAGAAACTAAGAACACAGTACCTTCTCCCGTATCAAAGTATAAAAAGGTCAACAGCTCAGATAAATCCAAAATTACACATTGCATACTCAAAACCTTTGCAAACCCTTAGAGCTTATACACATTCCCCACCCCATATAATAAAGACTTACATGTTACTATCCCCAACATACATTTCTACCTTCTATTTTTCTCCTCCACTCCAGCAGAAAACAATTTTGTTTGAGTAGGAAATAATAACAACTAGAAAGTGTTCATTTTTTTATCCACCTATTTCCTATCTACTTGTATTGAAATGGACAAGGAAATTCACAATTGTTCCATTCATCAAACTCACTGAAGAATTGAAGTCAGCAGAAAACCATTTACATGACAGGGACACTTTCACAACACAAATGTCTAGAATTACAATCCTTTCCTTTCAAAAACAAAACAAACAAACAAACAAAAAAAAAGAGGAAGCCTCTAAAAATTTGCAGAAAGAGCATTATTCCACAAACATCTCCTGCACTGGCTGCATAACTATGTTGCATTTGAGAAACACCACTAAGGTGATAGACAGCAAAGAGAAGTTTGGTACTTACACTAGTTTTTTTTATTCCTCTAGAAACAGTAAACCTTCTATTTTAAAACATTTCTGAATTTTTCAGAACAGTCTCAAATTGTCAGTTGGGCAGTATGCAATACACAAAACTTGCTCAAAGTGAAAACAATGGAAATTACTTGAAATAACAACTGATAAACCCCAATTAGCAACAAGAAAAAAAAAAGAAGTATTAAGCATTTTGCTAAAATAATTTCCTAGGAAATAGCAGAAATGCAGAAAAATTGAAAGAAGTGCACACAAATTACTGAACAGATCTCAAAACTAAATGTTAAGCAGAATCTCAGGATATTTGCTTTGGACAAAACCAGATGGTCTAGTTTGTTCCCAAAATCAAACGAGAAAGCTATTCACTTTTAAGAGGGCAGCAATCCTAGAGATGACTGTGTGCAGAATTTACCAACATGTAACCTTTGAAGCTCTACGGTATGCCTGAGTAAGACAACTGAAAAGTATCTACAATTTAACACTTCAAGACTGCAGTTGTTTTATACTGCAAGGAAACAGAAGACAGGAAAGGGTAAGGGATACAGTCATGTAACTGAGAAGGCTGATCTTACATGCAGTTTACTTGCATTCAAAGAATTTATAATTCATGCTTTAATATACCAAAATATAATTATTATTTTTTCTAACTCATCAGGTGGCAACAGCCACAAAGTATCCCAGTTAATCAACAAAAGTAGTTTCATTTACTTTCGAGGCAGGAGAAAACCATCACACCAGAGAAGTATTACTTGGATGACCACAACATCTCGGAATCTAGGAAATACAACTGAAACAGTATACAACACAAGCTCTAAAGGGTATTAATAAATAAGCACCTTTCCTGTTCAAATCTAAGACAACAACAGGCAGATATTTTGGATTTTGTTGCACTGTATTGATTTTAAGAATGAATGGGAAACACCTCCTTTCTATCATCATCCACTTGCTAGTCAAGCCATTTTGTGGAAGGGTCATAAAATTTATCCAACTCAACTTAGGGTTTTCTGCCTCTCTTTGGATTGCCCAAACAAGTACCTATTTTCTCCATAAGCATGGCAGGAAATTCCCACCAAACACAGAGAGCAAGCGGGCCTGATAACATGGCTAGAGGTCCAACCCTCTGCCTTTCCACATCATGGCTCACTGCAATTCCTCCAGATCCAAAGTGGTTTTCAGAGGTCCCTTCCCATTCAGTTCTCAGCTACCCCAGTCACTGTGCTCCTGACAGACTGTAATCCTAAAAAGAGTTTTTAACTGGATTACTGAGATAACCAGGTTTCAAGAAACAAGGCCACAAAAAAAAATCTTTCGTTTTTAAGCAGTCATTTTACTGAATCAGTAGTATAGCCTGAGGTTTGGCAAACTCCTCTGTTAAGACAATCCACTGACCGAGTGGGGAAAAAACAATGAGCAAGAATAGACAAGTACATCTAGAACAAACATCCTAGAGTAATTGTAGTAACATGGAGCCACAGTCTCAGACTATGGTCAAAAAAAAAGGGCAGTAGCATTAATTATGTGCAGAAAAATTTTAAATGTGAGGGCAGTATTCAAGGCCAGAGTGGATAAAGCTTTGAGCAACCTGGTCTAGTGGGAGGTGGTTCAAGGAGGGTTGAGACTGAACAATCTTTAAGATTCCCTCCAACCCTCAGCATTCTATGATTCTATTAAAAGAAAGTATAATTTCCAACATAATTATTTTTAAATCATCAACCTGAAACCCCGTCATCAACACAGCCGTTGAAAACACAGATACAATTTAACACCATCACCACTCTCCAAAAGAGCAAACTGGGCCTATACTTCCTCCAAAAGGAAAATTGTGCCTATACTGGCACTTTTTTACTGACAGAAGAATGTTGAAAAAATTACAATTTATCAACTGAATGTTCAGTAACATCGATTAGTCTATTAAAAGGGTTAAGGTTTACAGAGGTTTTGAACTATGAAGGAAAATGTACTTAGAAATATTTTTTTCATTTAAAAATTCATTACATTAACATGGATACTTCAACATACCAGATTATTTACATAGGCCTATGTGACTTTTCTTTGGTTGTAATTAGATACCTAAAAATTCAACAAGAAACACACATTACTAGTAAAACATTGTATCAATAACATTTCTATAAAAACACGTTATTTACACAAAGTCCAGAAACTGCTTAATACCATTCATTTTTTGCTCACACACAAAAATTCACCAAAAGCAAAGCAAAACTATCCAAGAAGAAATTAACTTAGCTGAATTGAGTACTTGGTGCCGTGTCACCTTACAAGCACAGCAAAGCACTCAGCTTTCATTATCAAACACCCTACACAGTCTGCCCTCAAAACCCTCAGCAATTATGCCATAACGCAAAGGCAAGCCCTGAGGACCTAAACAGGCAGTACAATTTATGTGCCAAGTCACAGCTCCATCAGTCACTGTGCATTCCCCATTCCCTTTCCCCAGAGGCACATTACGCTTCTGTCAGACTGCTGACAGTTCACCTCAGTCTCGTGATGCATGATGCTGCTTCTCAAAGGTTTCCACCAGGCCTTAGCAATCTTCCTTGACTTGAGCCAACTCATAAAGAACTGATTTGTTTCAGTGCTTTGCTGTCCTGGCATTCCTATACACCAGTCACTGTATACCAGTCTACATATTAAACTTACTTGAAGATGTGATCTAAATGAAATTATTTAGAAGTGATATTTGGCACACTTAGTGATGCTTAAGCTGTAAATAATAAATTGTACTCATGCTACTAATTCAGATCCCACGTATTCATTTGCTTAAAAAAATAATATATGCCAAGTACTGAAGTTAAGGGCAGTTGCCTGCCCTTACTTCATCCTTACCTAAGAAGTAAAATATAAAGATAGTCAACCTCAGACAAGTCTTTTGGTTCTAATCACTGTTACTCAGATACATTGGTAGTGTTCTTCCACCTCAGCAATTGCTCAAGACAATTTACAGCACCTTCAGGAAACAGAATATAAGAGGAAAAAAGTTAACAGGTAAGTGGAAAAAAATTTCATGCTTCATTCAATTGCAATTTTTACATGGCATAGACAATTTTTTCATAAAGCACATGAGAAATTTCTAGAAATATTTAATCTTAATCCTATCTTGCCTAAAGTATGACTCAGATTCTTGAAAAACAAATCCTTTTAATAACCAAGATCAAAACAGTTTAGTTCTTATATTAGCAGTATACAACTCAGCATTAAAATAATGCACTGTTTTTCTAATCTCCTATACTAAATCTAAGTAGAATCTACACCCATCTGATTACTTCAAGCACATTCCACTTGTTTTTGTATTGTTTAATTTAGAGAAAGTGGCCCATAAACAACAACATAATCTTCTCTCTGCTCTAGTGGTAAAAAATCCTCTTTAGTTACTCTGGATTTTGCCCATTATCCTCATGCCATTTGCCTTTTATGGCATGCCTTTTAAAGAAGTTTGTTTACATGTTATGAAATTGGTTATTTGAGCAATCTACCTGC